ATAAAAGAGAAGGATTTTCTCATACCCAACCTTAAATATCCAACTCAGCCCCATCTGCTCATGCTCCTTCTATCTCAGGAGGAATTTTCAAAGGGCAATGTAAAGCAGAAAACGAAATTAAATGTTCTGATTCCCCTCCCCCAAGACAACCTTTTACTATAGAGGAATCTCTGCAAAACAAATCAGCCAAACCAGACATTTCATCTCAGCAACGTATTGTGTTCTAAATTATCTGGGTATCAAGTTAGCAGAGCCATTTCAGCATCAACAGAAGAGAAGTCTCAAGTAGTTCATCGGGATACAAGGAAGTACCCAGGAAAATCCAACCAATTTAATGAAATATAGATCAGAAATCAACCTTCAGGAACAGAGCCCCGTGTGCTAACACATGGTGTAGGTGATTAAGGATTTGCTCCAGGCCTCCAACCCCAGCACAGACAAGAAGCCAGATTATTTGGACCACGGCAGCCCCCACACACCAGGTGCTTTCCACCACTGTTCCGAGGAGTTAGCTGTCACTTAGATGGGACTTCACTTTGGAAGAACAAACACCAGGGCTTCTGCTTCCTCAGCTTCCAGGATCTTTTTAGAGGACTTTGCCACGACTTTAAGGCAAACTCTGGTCGTGGTGCCCACCAACAGGCACCAAATATTGTCCAACACCATCAGCTCAGACCCTTTCACGGCAGCAGTTTGAGAGCCGTGCTCCAGGAGGGCACTGCCAGGAGAACCACCTTTTGTCTCCACCTCAATTCAAGTTCCCAGTTAAGAAGTTGCACGGTCACATTGCCAAAAGGCAAATCTGAGCATAAAATCCAGTCCCAACCCTGTTGCTCTCACTATTCTTCACCAACTATATGTGAAAAATTCCCCACATTCAACAAGACGATCCCTGCAGAGTTCTATTGTCTCAAATTATTAATTAAACATGCTCTCAAAGAAAGCAAATGCCTAAAATCATTTGCTTCTCCTAAGCAACTCCCATATTACCCCAATTGCAATTCAGACAGTCTAAGTATATCCATTGACTGTAATTCAGAAGGGACCACCCCCAAAGAAACTCTCTCTTCTCTCCAGTTCAAGAACACACACGCACGCACAACCCACAGGAGACCCCAGCCCACAAAACCCAGCCAATTTTCCTAAAAACCTGCTCAGTGATGATAACTCGTCCCAGCTGAATATCTCGACCATCTTTTCATTCCCCTCCGGAGCAGTAGATGGCTGTTTGGATTTGTAATGAGATATGCAACCTTCCATAGCGGAGACAAATCCATCCTGGGCCATTATTCATCAGGAGACATCTCCTACCTCTTCGCTCACCTACGTTCTGATCTCTACCCAGTTTTTTGCAGGATAAATAACGTACAAACACACCAGTGCAGCGAGTGTAACTGTCTGCCCAAAGAGCCCAAAGAGAAATCAGGCATCGTAGGTGAACGACAGCCTGAACCTCTTCAGATGGAGTCCTAAGAGTTACTGGGAGACACCGGCACTCAACCTCAGCTTGCTGCTTTTTGTGGCTAAAAGACAACTGCATTTTGCAGTCAAGACCTGGCTGATGAAGGTGTCTTCCACGTAAAGTTTGCTTAGGAGTTCAGAGATTCCAATCTAGAAAAAATAAGTCTGATTTCACCATTATTTCAGTGTCTCCAAGAACAAAGAGGATTTACAACATATACTATTAGTGTGGATGGCGTATCTTCGATACCTAAATATTCAAAATGACAGTAGCACCTTTAATAGCTGAATTTTCTGTAAAAACTTATCCCCCTGCTGCCTTCTGAAGAAGGGAAAATCGCTGAGGGAAAAGAAAGTTTCTAGGTAAAATACAGAAAGAACCAGCGTTTTCCTGCTGTTCCCAGCCAGAGGACCACATCTACTGCCTTTGGAGGAGAAAAACTTTTGCTTTAGTCACCCCCAGTAAAGCCATTCCCAGCTACATTCTCAGAACTGCCCGTCAAAGTACAAACAAGTGACAAGGGGAAGAGCCAGCACAGTAAAAAATGAACAGCAAGGATCCCATAACTAAGTTCTGACTCACAACACTCACAGCTATTTAGTAACACAGGATGAAATGCTATCATTTGGTAAAAAAATCGCTGGAGTCTTATCACCAACAGACAGAGATAGACGTCTGTCTACACATGCAACAAAGAAGAAACTGGGATTCGACAATTAAAAAAATCCCTCTACCTTTAATTACGACCTCCCAAGCTCTAGGCAGGCATTAACCTATATTACCCTATAATTATTTTTTCTGACTTCCATTATCTTTTAGCTACTGAGTTTCCTAGCCAGCCTTCAAGGCAACAAGGCAGGGGCTCTAGCTGCACTTTTTCTGAAACTCTACAATCAGAAGTGCAGCGATACAAGTGTATCTGTGAGAAATGGAGACTCAGCACATCCCTAAGGATTCCCCACCTCTCTGCATGTCCCAGCACTTCCTTCCATTTCTCGTCTTGCAGGACAAATTCAATTCTACCTCGGTTGAGCCCAAACTGAATTAAATCATTTTGCATGCGTAAGGCTAGTTCTTGCTCCAAGGAATTTATAATTTCAGAAGCAGATGCGGAAGTGGCCAAAAAGTCACAAAGAATCACTGAACGATATGGGGCTGGAAGGGACCTCTGGAGATCAGCTAGTCCAACCTCCTGCCAGAGCAGGTCCAGCCAGAGCAGGTTGCACAGGAACGTGTCCAGGCGGGTTCTGAATGTCTCCGGAGAAGGAGAAGTCAAAAGGAATGGCGGTGTTAGGATTACACACATCCTGCCTTCTGCTTCCCGGCAGTAAAACCCCGAGGCAAACAGAAAACCACGGAAAATGAGGCGCTCCAGAAAGGCTGAAGCAATGAGCAGAGAGATAAAAGCACTCAGCAATCACTGGAGTACATGGTATCAAATGAGATACACAAGAGAAGGGCTACTGCCCCACCTCACAGCTCTTCGAAGAAATTAAACACAAAGATTGGTTTAAAGCTGCATCCTGAGCACAAAACATGAGGACTATGTGATAAATACACACTGCCAATGGGAGAACCCCCAGGAAGCAGAACAGATCCGGTCCCAACATCCATAATATTCCAGTGGGTATTCCTTGAGCTTCCCATCACACATCTCAGGGAAGAAAACCAGAGAAAGCATCACCCAGAGCCTTCTGAGCTTAATCCTGCAGGTGTGGTTTGTCCATTCTCAGAAGCGTTCTGCCTCCAAGGAACACGTGAATTATTTTCTAAAAGTTCATTTAAACTACCACAAGCTAACGAGTTTTCCTTTCATTAAGCGGTCTGAAGAAAATCAAGCTGAGGAAGAGCAACGCAACAGCTGACATCAGGGAAGGCTCTGTAACAGGTGGGGGCTCTTCAAGGGAAAGTTTCAATCTTCTGGTTTTTAAAGAATGGAGTAAAAACAATGCAATTTGTAATGACTGCAGGATTAGGGTCCCTGGTCCCCCCCATCTCCAGTGAGTTCTGTTGTCTCTGCTTTCAAGGGTTTTCAGACAAAGGAAGATGGGAGAAAAAAAAAAAAGAAAAAAAATCAAGAATTTGATGACATTTATCTCAGTTCATGAAGTTATCTTTCCACAGAACATCCAAACATCAGCAGTTCCTGCCCAAACACCTCCACACCAGATCACAGGGCAGCTTTTATTTGAAATACCTTAAAAGGTGCAGCCTTTCAATAAGAAATTTTTGCTTACTGTTTGTACACAACTTGAAGTGCTTTAAGATCTCTTCCACTGCTGTCTCTTGAAACAAGTTTTACATTTAGTGACTGAAAACTTGGATAGTTAACAGAAAAATTACATCTCATTTCAATGCAGCTATTTCCTTTAAAGCGGTAACTAAATACTATGTTTCCACATAAGGGAATAATTACAATATTCTCCCAGCTGCTTCGTTCATATTGCTGTATTTTATATGATTTTTCTTCCAGAACAAATTAAGAGGGCACTTGGGTTTACTCCTTTGCTGATGTACACACTGACTTCAGCAAGGTTGCAAAATTCCCTGCAATGTTTGCTTTTAACTGGCCCGGATGGCAACCCATCCCCTGGGGAGGGCACAGCAGAGGAACGAGGGCTTGTTGGCTTTTATTTGAAAAACTAGAAGCAGGAGATATTCATAAAAAAGGTTGCAAAAGCTTTGTGTCTGCTGCTCTGGCAATACTTGCGGAAATCATTCCGTTTTCAAATGTGCTTACGCCCAAGTTCTGCTCCTTCAGCAGAGGAAGCACATCTTCTTTGAGGAGTGACTTACAGGTCACAGACAAGAGAGCCAGCGTTGAGTCATACGCTCATTTAACTCTCAGCACATCTGACAATGCAACTACTGACAAGATTTCTAGTAAACACCGCTGCCGAGACACGTTCTGGCCCACTACCCTTTCAGAAACATTCAATCGCTGCAAGAATTCAGCTGTGTTTCTAAAAGCACCATTTCGTGACATCTTAAGGCCATTCTGGGTTCAGCTAAGCACATTTATAGCACCTTCCCCTCCCAATTATAATCAGAAAAACCCAAAAGCAAAACAAACAAGCAAAGAAACGCAGGAAAACACACTCCCAGCAGCTCCCAGGACTATGTTTTTCAATATTGGGAATGGTAAAAGCTCAACCTACATGCATTGGCAGTTTTGTAATACCATTACATAAGAATTATTTAACTACAGCAACAGATTTGAAGAGCAGCAGCAGTCACTGCTCCGCCAGTTCACACATCCGAAAAGAAAAGAAAATCAATCAAGAGAAGGATAAATTCTGCAAACATGCATCTGAGTGTCACAGAGAGGGGACTGGGATTTCAAGGCCCTCAAGAGCAGAAACGTTTCAGCTCAGAGCCACCGAGGCCCCGTGATCCTGGAAAGAGAAAACAAAAGGTACAACTCTCCCCATTCCAACCACCCGGAAACCAGCGGAAGCTTTAAAAAAGCGTCATTAAAAAGCATCTATCGAAAGCCCGATGTCGAGTTCGGAAACATGGAACTTTTTGGTTTTTTTACCTGATGTTCTGCATGAATGTTATCCCCAGTAGGCCAGCGATGTTTGCTGTTATTATAGCCGCCTCCACCACTTCCTCCTCCCCCAAGCTGCTCACCATGCTGCCTCTGGAAGAAGTAATCCACCATGGCGTCGTCCTGCGAGCGGCCGGCCACCCCTATGGATCCGGGGACGGGGCTGGAGTGCGTCCCCGCCGCGAGCGCCTGGTTGGCAGCCGGCTGTTGCTGAGCCTGGGACCCTGTTCCAGATGTCAATACAACAGGCATGTTGGGATTAGCTGTATCTTGAGCGTGCTGTTTCAGGTGGGGGCTGAAGGAGTCCTGCCAGAGTACTGCTTTTCTCTTCAAAACACACGCAACGCTCATTCCACCAACACCTACGGGGGGGGGAGAGACGGCCAGAAAGAGAGAAGGAAAAGAAAACATGAAATCCTTGCAGCTTCAGCTTTCCATCCTCAATAACACACCCGGCTTTGGCAGGGAAACGTCACGATGCCAAATCTGCCTCCTTTTAACACAGTTATTTGCTCCATTAACCCAGCAACTAAAATATCGTATGAAAACGCACGCTGGCCAAAAAATCCCCCATTTTCTGCTGCACAGTGTCACCAGTACACACAAGACTCACCTAAGGTGCCCATTACACTGAAATCAGAATGCCAGTTTATGCCCTGGACAAACCACTGACCAGAGCACTGCCCCAGGAGACTGCTAGAAAAAAAGCCCCCGAAAACCCGGGTGGAACACAAAGGCACCATCAGTGCTGCTGGGGCTTGTTTACACCCAGCAAATTAGGAGGCAGAACTTCAATCAATACCCGAGTCCCACCGTACTGCGATGTGTTCACTCATCACACAAAACATCAAGGCAACAGTGGGTTGGGTTGTTGGTTTGGTTTTTTTTAAAACAAAAACTTAAAATGCTGGATTTCTGCTTATAGAGTTAAGTAAGTCCCAAACACAACGCAACTCCTCCTGCAAATTCAGGAGCTGGCTTTCGGTCGCGAGGCTGTAAAACCCAGGGAATGTTTTACAGGAGATCCCCTGGAGAAAAAGCCGCTAACCTCTCGGTGCCCGGGCTGTCGGGAGAACCTTCCAGAGCCAGCAGTGCCAGTCCTGCTCCCAACGGCACCGGGGGCAAGCTGGAGGGCTCACAGAAACCAGCCCCCACTGAAACACCCCAAACGCTTCGTGTTCACCCAAAATCACCCCCGTGCAGGACACTACAGGCAGAGCAGGCTGAGAGCAACTCACAGTTCTCCTGTCCCTCCACAGTGTTTTGGGGCATCCCAGCAGCACACCACCACACACCTTTGTGGGTTTAAGACAATATGATCAGCCCATCCTGAGAGTAATAAAGACCTTAAGGTGTGAACTGAAAAGTGCTTTCCCCCGGTCCGTAACGCTCAGCCAACGCACAGCAAAACCCAATCTGTTTTTAAAGGCATGATACAGTCACAATTCTTATTATTTTTAAAAAAGATTTTTAGTTTACAACTTCGGTGACCTAACCACAACCCCACCAACACCACAGAGAGTTCTGAGGATGAAACTGGGGGGGGTCCAGCCCTGCCCAGCCACACACCAGGAGGGGAACACTCCTACTCCCAGACCTGGGGGGCTCTAACCTTGGCCCCATCCTGCCAGCGCCTCCGCGGCCTCAAAGGGGCTCTGTTTCCTCTGGGCTCATCCCAGGAGTCTCCCCGACACCCAACCCCTACAGCAACTTCCAAGAACAATTTTCTGACAGCGGTGAGAGAAAGTTGACACCCACCAAAAAAAAAAATAATCCGAGTCCTATCTTTGATCAAGCTCCCTCAGGTTTGTCCCACTAATTGAGACCAGCGTTAATACTCAGAATGAAATGACTGTAAGAAGAGCAGAGATAAGATTTTTTTAATTGCACCTCGAACAGGCATTTGTTGACACACACACGCACCCCAAGCGTCCCGGGCCACGTAAACAACCAACTCTGTTTGCTTTTTAGACAGGCAAAGACCTTCGCAGCCTAAATACCCGAGCGTCCCGGGACACGTAAACAACCAACTCTGTTTGCTTTTATACAGGCAAAGACCTTCGCAGCCTAAATACCTGCAAGATTTAACAGAAGTAACTCCTCTGTCTTTCAAAAAGCCTGGAAATCACTGCCTTCCCCAAACACTTCACCAAAACCAGACAGCCCGTGGTATGACTAAACCCTCACTGATTTTTTTTTTTAAGAATACTACACTTTAACGGCATTTTCTTGTTAGCTTCCCTTTAATAAACATTATCAAAATCCTTCAGTAACACGAAACGAAGGGATAAAGCTCCTCTACACATTGAGAAAAAGAAAAATAAATCAGAAATTACTGGTAAGAAACTCCCGTATCAGCAGGTTGGGGTGACAATGGAACGGGAGCAGCGTCCAGGAAAGGAGGTTACAAGTTATCTCAGTTATTAAATATATAATAATAATAAATAAAGATACTATGAATCCACACAAAGTTTCAAGTATCTCTAGATGGTGAGGATCCCCCGAGTCCAGTGGAAACACCACAGGGCACAAGGGGGAGAGGGGAAGGGCTGCAGGGCCACAACGGCACCGGGGCTGCGAGGCCCCTCGATTTGCAGGTGGATCGTTAATAATTGTGGTATTATAAAAACCGGGGGGGGGTAGGGGGGGGACTAGAAAATCTGCGTTCAGGTACTACGCGAAGAGCCGCAGAAGTGCCTCCCGCTCCCAGACGCTTCCTCTTTCGTCTACCGCAGAGGAGGCAGCTCCAACCAGGGGAGGAAAACTTGGCAAAGGCGACATTTTGCGAGGGAGCGGGAGGGGGGCGCGGGGGGGGGCGGCGCAGGGCACTGTGGGTAGTTCAACTTTAGTTCCCAGCCGGTTTTTTTACCCAAACGGGGCGGCAGAGCCAGGGGGACCCCGTCATTCAGTGCCCACAAACACCTCCAGCCACCTCCACGACACCCCTTTCCCAGCTGCCAGACACCCTGCTGACGGCTACCACCTCTCTTTTTCATCCCCCCCCCTCAAAATCTCCCTTAAAAAACCTACAATAAACTTTTTTATTTTTTTTTCCTTCCCCTGGATAAAAGCGGTTTTTGAGGAAGAAATAGGTATTTCCACACAAAGGCTTCCCGTGGGCTCAGGGAGGACAATTCTCCTCCCTCCTCCTCTTCCTCCCTCACTCAAAACACAGCGTGTAAATAAACTGCGCTGCGTCAGGGCCGAAGGCTCCACATTATGGGATGTTCCACGCGGAACCCAAAACTGGGGAACCGGCCCCAAAAAAAAAAACCAGTTCCGAGCAGAAGCGGCGGCGGCGCCGAAGAAAGCGGCGTTACCCCCGAGCTCTGCCCTCCCCTCCGCCCTGCCTCTAAAAATAACAATATTGAAAAAAATAAAAAACATCAATTATTAAAGCAGGGAAAGATGCGCCGATGGAAAAGTTGGAGAAGAGGAGAGTTTGGGGCTGTGTGTGAGCGGGGAGGGGGGCTTTTGGGGAAGTTGGAGTGGGAATGGGGCTCAGCCATTGTTGGGGCTGTGGGGCCTACGGGAACTTTTTATGGGAAACCGGGATTTTTTTCCTTGAAAACCCGCGGGGGGGGTCAACGGGAACCGGGAAAATCCATCCCCAACCCTTCCAGCAGCATTAAAACACGGGTGGATAAATGCCCCCCCTCCACACACACACACACACCACCCCCCAGCTTGAGAAAGGAAATTCCTTACTCATGATCTCTCTAATAAAAAAAAAAAAATCTCTGCTCAGGACAAAGTTATTAAACATTGACCACAACAAAACCAAAAAAAAAAA